AAGTCCTTGGGTATAAAACAAAGTAAAAAAAAAATGTGGAAAATGAAGGAGAGATGGATGCAGAGATACTTTAGGAAGACAGAGTATGATTTGTGATTATTTCACCTTGAGTGCCTTTCACTGGCTTTATCATTTTAGTTCTTTTCTTCCCTTCCCCACTCCTCTACCACTCACATTTTTTGCAAAATTTTCTTTGTATGTTCTCTTCTTTACAAGTTGCTCTAGTAGTGGACTTATTGTCTCCAGCCTCTCATAGCAGCATTGTAACTTTTTCAGAATCTTTACCACTCCTTTCAGTCATCGGACTCAGTTAACTGGCAAATTATTATGCATGTTGTTACTGGGAAAACTAATTATTCAGAGGCATTTTGACCTCAGCCATTATTATTCATTGATTTATTGTTCTGGATTGTCCTTTCTAATTTTAATTTCAAATCATCCTCAAGCAGTTAAATGTTTTGTTGAATATTCATCATTTTCCTTCTGAACATAAAATGATGTTTAAGCTTTCCAATCAGCCAGTTCACATATTTTCATTTTCACACAACATTGAATTAATATACTGTCTCTAAACCATTTTGAATCTGTGCTTTCAAATGAGCTTGAGTGTTTGAATTCATTTGGATTTATATTAATAGTTTAATGTATTCATGTTCACACCATCTATGCTGATTATGTGTGTGAGAATGCATATAACCAGGTTTCCATCCAAATGTAACGCATTTTAAACAGTTTCCAGAAAATTGGCAATACATTGCTTTTACAAGCATCAGGAGTTGGTTCATTGATATAAATTAGTGGGCCTAATGCTCCAGTCAGGTGTTATTAAACCATTGTAGAAGAAGAGGGTGCATGCTGTTTTAATGTACGGTTGGTACGTATTCCTACGAAAAATGCATCAAAATTCGTATTAAAAGGAGCTATATGTAAGAAATCTAAAGCAAATAGTCATAAAATCCTCCTAATATGTCACAGAGACTAAGGAATAATGTTCATATAACATACTGATCTCACCGACAACAATAGTACAGCCAGAATATTTGCATCTAAAAAATAGTCTGCAAATCATGTTTATGTTTTGAATTTGTGTTTTGGCCTGTTGCACCACCCAGCGCCGTCTACCAGTCATGCAGTCAGTAGAGTCTCAGCATCAGTTACAGTTACGACTGAGCTACAGCAGCATGGCAAGCAGCATTAGCAGTGTCCCGGTACATAGCATTAGCAGTCTCCTCAGCTGTATCCCGGCAGCAGCGTTAGCAGCAGAGAAGCCGGACTTGCTTGAACGGTCCACTGGAAAACCGAAGATCAAGGACATGGCGATGCGGCCCTGCCACGGCAGCTGCCTGTGGGCAAACAAATCAGTCTCCAGCGTGCCGCTGTCCAGCAACCTCAAATCTGTAGGGGAGGGGGGGGGCAGACACGTCTCGTGGCAGTATTTTGAATTTGAGTGCAGTAACCGTTTTGGCCACATTCTTACATACAGCGCCTTTAAATCTACATAATCATGAGCCCATGTATAACCCATGTATTTGGGAAGGTTACAATCATGTGACCAAGATGCTGACAGGAATAAAGAATGAAGTAGTTCCCATAAAAAGGCAGGTAAGGGAAGTGTATGGATCACAAGCCACCTGACTTGCCCCTAGGAGACCAGTTCAGAACTGTGTGAAACAAAGTGAACTGAGTTATTTTTTAAAAAAGGTACGTCATCACAATGTTTCTTTCTCTAAGCCTAATCTGCATAACTTTACTTGACTAAACCTAAAGACGCTCAACCATGACTCTTTTCGTTAACCTAACTAAAGTAACTTTTAAGTACGTAACTGAAAGTCGGGTACATATTCATGGGCTGCAAATCCATTAGATACCATATGAACCGATAGATAAGGATATGTTAGAGGGTGCAACGAGATGTGATTAAAAGAGCGGTAGTCAAAGCTCAATCCAAAACAATGTAGAATACATAATGTAAATATAGCCTAGGTTCGGGCGCCCATACAGCTGCAAATGAGGTTCGCCATTGTCCTGGTCAAATTGGCCAGTTGTGCAAAGTACAGGGTTGTGGCAAACCAGTTTGGTGTGCATAAGTGGACTGTTAGGAAGCTAGTATATATTTTTTTCAAGGGAATGGTGTCCTCAGTCATTCAAAACCTTTTCAAGGTGCCCACAACAGAGGAAGCAGTATCAGTAGCACAGTGGTTTGAACAGAAGTTCCATATTTCACAAATTTACGTCAAAGCCTACACACATTCTCCACACATCACTCCTGAGCAGGAATCATTTAATGTGTACCTTAGTTCTGCAAGGACCACGGTAGTGATCACCTTCGGGAGACTAATGTCATGCTGGAGGGTGTTGCTCAAGCGGAGTGACTTTCACTACACATTTATCCCTGAAGTGATTGACACCTGTTGTGCACTGCACAATTTCTGCGAGGATGAGAAGGAAAGCGTCAATCCCACCAGGACAGAAGAAGCTGCTATTCTTGAGTGCAACCTACCCCAGCCAGGTGCCTGTGCCTACACCACCCACGAGAATCCCAGTGGTCAGGGGACACTCAGGGCCGAATTCACAAAGAACGAACTGCGGCTGCTGATAGAACCTTGAATTGCACTTCACTTGCACCTGCAGTTTGCTCCATCTTAACATCCTATTCACAAAGGATATTGCGCTAATGATATACCAGCGCAAACACGCCCACAAAGTGTAGTTTGCCCCTGACTGCAATTAGCCACATGGCAAAGTATAAATGCTGGCTTTGCGCCTAGAACACTGTGGCAGAACAATGGCAGACTTTGTTTGGCAAAGTACTGAATACTGTATACAGTATATGTATATAGTTTGACCACTTTATCACTATTCCCTCTCACTTGTAGCTGTTTTTTCGTTATCTTTTGAATTTAATATAAATTATGGAACCGTTTTTGTTCACGTTTCCCCCGTTTCGTAAAATAAATTATTGAAAGTTGCTTTTAAAGTGCGTGACAGAAGTACGTTTTGAGAACGACCGCAGACTGTCACCTGTTCAGTGCATCTTCGGATGCCATTAAAGTAATAATGATCATAATAATAATGTCAAAATATTATTTACAGACTGATTTAACAGACGATCACTGCTGCCACAATCACTGGAAAGTCTGGGCGAGAGGCTTCCACAGAGGAGCGCCCAGTTTGCACCAGCTTTCTAAAGACGTTATTTACTTCACTCAAACTGCATGTGGCTATTAGCGCTGGTGTTAGTGAATTAGACCTTGTTTATCAATGAGGCTCATTTGCATAGAAAGGGGCAATTCTTGCTCCAAATATATGCATATATTTGGAGCATTTCACCCTCTGTGTGTACTTTGTGAATTAGACGGTATCTGTTTGCTCCATTTTTACCGGTTTAGCAGCCGCAAAAGCCATGCAATCCTTTTGTGAATTCGGCCCTCAGTCTGTTTCCATTGCACTTTGTCGCATTTTTTTAATTGATACATCAACTTTTCCACCTTAGTTAAGCATAAAATGTATGTTGGTATTTTAAGGGTTTTTCCCCTCTCTTAACACTTTATGTAATGTATGTACAGACTGCATAGATGTTGGGTTTGGCCATGAGGGACCTATACATTATCATTTTGAAACTGCAATCTGCACAATGAATTTTAAGTTGGCCTTTTTTTGGTCAGTTTTATGTTGCATTATTTTCCCTCTTATTCTTGGCTGTCTCTCCCTCTCACTACCCATCCATCTGTTCTCGTTTGCCCATAACAGGCTGTAGCTGACTGATAGCAAGCCTTCAGTCAAGGGACATAGCTGTGATGTTTTTATCAGCAGACAGACAAATGGATAAACTTACAACTATGTGAATCTCTGAAACCACATCAGCCCTCAACACACTGTCCTCTCACCTCCCTTCTTTTTGGTCTTCTCCATTGTAGGAGTATACAGACTTCCTAAACTCTCCAGATTCTGGACTAAAAGTAAATAGACAATGAGAAGGCCACAAGCGAGGGTCAAATGTTTATTACCCTGCCCCCGAGCTTACTCCGGTCTGGAGGGATGCCCCCTCCAGATGTCCAGGTGTCAAAAGGGGGGTAAAGAGTTCATTTGAGGTACTTCAAATGGTCACTTCAAGGTCATTAAATTGTTAAACTTATTATAACTTGTTCTTACGAATATGTGCTTCTTCATTTTTGTTTTTCATTATATATTGCAACTATAGGCTAGTCTAGAGTGTGTGTATTTGAAGCAGTCTGTGTACTCCACTTATATACGCAGTATAATAATTGTATTTTAATTTAAATTTAATTTGTATTTTTAATTGGATGTTAAGAGTTGAGTTTGACCATAATGGGAAGAGTATGTGTTCATTGCGCGCAACGTATCAAAAGTATATGGTCTCGTATAATAAAAGCATTAAGTTTCCTAAAATAAAATGGGCTTATTTTTTTCACTAAGGGGCTGCCTTATCTGACCCGCTTACTTTGGCCAGTTAAAAACATGTGCGCTCTGGTGCGCTCTCTTGTTTTTCCACTTTCTTGTATTCTTGCTCTCGTTGCTCCTCTTTTCAGTATTTTAGTCTCTCCTGTTTTTATGTTTTGCGTACGCTCTTTTGTTTTTTTCATTTTGTCTATTTGCTTTTGCTGTACCTTATGTTTTAACCAGTTACGTTCTTATAATCGTTCCTACGTAACTTTTGTCCTCATGATCAAGTTATCTTAAACTTTTCTATTTTGCTTATCCAGTGTTCTTTTATCTCCAGTGCCTTCAGTAACATAATACTTGAAGTGACAAAGCCAGCCGATTTTAACATTTTTATGCGCGTTAATAGTAACTTTGGTAACAAGATCGAACGGCCAACAAGATTGTTTTCAATTTTATTATAAGCGAGCAATCATAATATAGCAGGAGAGATACCTCCTCCTCTGCTCAGATGGATTGGCCTGTTGCCTATGTGACCAATCACCTCAGGAGGGATCTCTATAAAGGGAGCCCATGTCCATCACTCTCCCTCTTGCTCTCTGGCTTGGAGGCACGCCCACCCCCTGGTCGCCACACTTCTTTCCGATCCACCAGACCTGTTACAGGTGTGTTTGCAGTGGCTGCATTGTGGCACGGTAAATTAGCTGTTTGGCTAGCAGGTGCATTGATTGTTTTGCTGTCCGTAGGCTTTTGGTGTGTTGCTAGTTCCGTGACACTGACGCTCGTTAACGAGCAGGACGCACATAGTGCTTTCCAACTCCGGTGATGAACGGAAGCTGTCTAACGGTATGTACACCTTGTGTGCTGCGCCTCCTTTAGCCTCATTCATAGATCATAATATAATATAATATAATATAATATAATATAATATAATATAATATAATATAATAATATAATATAGCCTGTTCCTAACCTAGCACTTTTGTTTGACAGGGACTGGTTAATCGCTCACAGAGGAGCTAGTGTGCAACGTTAATTTAACGCCAAACCCCTGCTGCTTTGTCTGCTTTGCTCTGCTGTGCGTGGACTGGTGTTTTACTGGCACCTGCTGTGTTGCGTGGCACTGCCGGTGTTTCTTCACGCCACGCCGGCTTGGTTCACTTTGGCGTTTTTGCAGCTCTGGTATCAATGACCATTTGGTGATGTTGGTAGCGGCATGGACACACAGTATAAATTGCCAGTCTCCCAGTCTTGGGCTAATAATTTTGGGGTTAATTAATAGGGTTTATTTGATTTATTTTCCCGAGTTGTCTAATCATAGGTTTATTTTGTAACATTGTTTCATGCACATTGTATAATTTCGAACATTTCTGTTGTTGGTTTAGTTTATTCAGTTAAAGTGATGTGCTGACGTATTACGGTAAGCGAGTTGTGTCATTTCCGGTGTTTCTGTGACAGCGTCTCTGTACTGCTCTAGTGAATTCTACTAGCCTGCTTACTGCTTTCTCACTTCGGTTGCTTTAACATCTACTGCAAGTCTTAACCCACACTAGTTCTGTTTAAGCCAACCTGATCTCACAGAAATACGTGAAATGACCACGACCTCTTAACACCGCATTCCGTGGTGGCAGCACGTAATGGGTTGAAATTACGTGCTGCCACCACGAAAACAATGCCAATGTAAAGTCAATTAGGTCCTCTCCCGTGGTGGACACACGGATTCCCTGATTCAATCACGTCACGTCAACCTCGTTTTCCTCAATGATATCTTTAACATTCCTGTACACACACAAAAACGCGGAAATGTCCTTGATAACTCAACAATATGACAGGTTAATGTCAAGGCCATAAAATAAAATAAATGTATTTTGCCAGCTTTTGATAGTGTAGGGCTTTAAGAGCATTGTGCTGTGGGTGGATGGGGCGCGTTCCACTACTGTTTTGTAGCTGCTGTCGGCCGTCTGTGGGCTTCATTCCATTTCAGATTGCCATCCGTCTGCCGTAACTGAATCCAAACGCCAGTAATAAATAAATAAATAAGAAGATAAAAATAAGGCTGAGCACGGAAGAACCAGAGAGGAAACACCATCACATGGA